GGGAGCATAGAAACATGTAATTGAAAGAGGAAATGCTGTGCCTTTGCCTTTCCCCTTATATATGTAGACAAATAACACTTTAGGTTACAAATTACTGAACATAATTTCTATCATCTCCCTATAGAAGTATAAATATATATGTAAAAGTAAGAGTCTTATTGCAAGATGTGGTGAAAATGGCTAGGCATATGACTAGGTTTTAGATTTGATTTTGATTGACTGGAAAAAGTTGGGTGAAAGTGAAAAACAATGTGGGTGAAAACGCTGATAAGCCAAAAATATTTGTATTCGTAAATAAATACTGAGCGTGACAGTCAATACATAAGATCATAGATAAATTTATGTACTTTTAAATGAGAGGATGAAGAAAAATGTTAAGTTGACGATTCCTGTACGGTGGTCTGCTGATATGCAGGGCCATCATAAGCATCTGTGATTCTGATTTTCCCATCTGCTTACATTGGTAGTGTGTATGAAAATCTGGCATTCAAACAGTTTGAAAGCTTCCAAGTTAAAAACAGATAACCAAATGAATAAAGTTTATTTTGTATGAACTAGCTGAAATGACTAGTGACTCACTGACAGTTGTTGTTAAGAAGTTAGGAGGACTTTGATGGTCCTGAAAATCTGGAAAAGAGCTAGCGCTTGGCTCACCTGTTTGTACAGATTTAGGTTTCAGATTACATGGATACAGAAACAAATTTATTTATAAATCAGTGTTTGGGTACAGAACAGACAGTATGGTGATCATTACCTTTATCTTTAATAGGATAACTTGAAAAGAGGATGAGATGGAAGCAGTAGATAGAAATCAGTAATAATGTTGACACATGTCATTCTTAGAGCACATCATGATTCAGTAATCTGTATTCCACTAACCAAGTCGGTGTCTCTAAAAAGAAGCTGACAAGTTGTAGTAGCTATTTCAAATGTTAACATCACAGAAACCTCCATACTTCCTCTTCTACATCTAGTACTTAAAAGCTGAAATAAAGAACATACTGAAGAGCTCTGTGAGTTATACCACACTGGTGATATAATAGTATTTCCAGTGGCAAAAATAAGGGTTCTAGTCTTGCTAATATTAATAGATGAGGTGATACAATACTATTTCCAGTGGCAAAAATCAGGGTTCTAGTGTTGTTAATATTAATAGATGAGGGTATGCCAGCAGCAATACTGGGCTATGAAGTGGACAAGCCAAAATGTGAAGTGATTGCAAGCAGAAGCCTTGATCTGAAGTGTGAATGCAAATCATTCAAGACTATTTTCCAGCTACTGGTGCTACTTATGCATTGGAGTGAGTGCCCAACTACAGGAACTAAAAATGAGAGAGGGTGCAGATAAGCTAGCTAAAGCAATGGGAAGGGAAGGCTAGAGAGTCAAAATTCTGAAAGAAGCTGAACCAATAAGTTCCACCCTTGATGGGTGATAGTAGGAAAGATGGAAGATAGTAGGAAAAAACATTCCATGATTACTTCAGAAAGCTTTCCCCATGCCTTCTGTGGCTTTAAAGGAGTAACTTAGATGTGCTTATTTTTCCACGGAACAGGAAGCTGGGATAAGTCTCCTATTGGGAACCTTTCAGCACTGCATTTCTCTGCTTGTTGCACAACTGTTTTTCTTTCTCAGTGAAAATTAGTAGGGAGAACAAAACTGGAAGCTTGCTTTGAAGGTTCTGAAAGCATTCTGACTTGACTCGTAACAAGAGTCATATGTATAAAAAGGGAATAATTGTTCTCTGGAGAATCTAAGCTGGTCTGCTTTTCATTTTACATCAACACCAGCTTTTCTACTTGCTTTACTCAAAATGAATGACAAATTCCCATTTCAAATTCCCATTACATTCAGTTCTGTCACTTGGAAGTCTAAGGGCTGATCGTCAGCCTAAAACTGTATGTGAGGTATTATTTATTTCCTTGCAGTGCAGGTGTCTCAAAACATCATACTGGGTAAATTCTCAGTAAATCAAAACAAAATCACTGTTCCTTTTTTAGAAGATACATTATAAAGTTTGTTTGAAAAGGGAGACAGAAGAATCAACTTAGTTTTCAAAACCTTTGTCTTTTGTCTTTTTTAAGAGAAAATGTCTTTGCTTTATTCCTATTCCCACCCTCCCTAACACCCCCAAGTAATTTTCATCATGACTAGGTTTTCTTCTAAGTGTATTCCTGATGCTTCAAGGAGTTGTAAGCTCTGTTACTGAAGGCAGCAGAGATCTATAAGGATCTATAAGATCCTGAATATTAGGTTGTGGGTGTTGCTTCACTCCAGAGATTACTGAGGAGAGTTACAAAATGTCTTTGAGAGTTTCTGTGTATGAATAATCACTTCTACTGATTTCCATGAACCTACGACCAGCGAAGACCATCTACTCCTAGAAGAGCTGTAGAGGTGGAAAAGAGTAAAGCAAGCGTGATGAAGAATTCAAAAAGTTCTCCAAGACTGGGTGTGGAATGTTAATGTCTGGAGACTTTTAGAAGAAATGACAACAGGGTAGCTCCTGCTGTGGGGAAAGAGGGTGATGGTGATCATATGTATTTATTGTAACAGCTGTTTGCTACCATTATAATACAGAATAAGGACAGCATGCTCCTTGTTTGGCTTTTGTTTTTAAACTTAATATTAACAGCACATCAGACAGCAGTAGTTAAGTAAGTAACCTGCATTACCTGTACAAAAATTATATAAATATAAATTTGCTGGTTTGCTTTCTTGTTAGAGAAAGAAAAATTCCTTTTGTAAAATATCCAGAAGTCTTATATTATTGAGATGCTGCCAAATCACAATTCACGGAACAAATATATGAAATTAAATTCACACTGTGCAGAGATGACACAACTGCTCCTCCAGATCTAATCACCTTGTTTATCCTGGGCACAGTTACACAGCTGCTATTCAACATGAATATAAATATGCTTTGCAGTCAAACAAATGTCAGTACTTCCCTGTGCTGCTTTTTGTTAACTACTGTATTAGAAATGTCCACCACATTCTTATAGTTCTTCTTGTTATTACTGTTATTATTAGTATTAAGGAATTGTCCTTTATTCCATGCATAACTATCAATTCACAAGTTAAAAATATCATCCTTCCCTCACATCATATTTTAGAAAGCTCTCTGTGCACAGTGAAGCAGATCCTCAATTAAAAGCAAGTGAGAATTTCTCTATTATCATTGATTTCAGAGGAACAAAATTCTGGGGAGATTTAAAAAAACCCAAACAAATAGTTTTATCTGGACAAAATAATGTACAATTATTAATATTGCACTTTTTATACAAGAAATCCTAATAAATATACAGAAAAGATATACATTTACATACATAGAAAGACATTCTTTTTTTTTAAATAAAAAGTTACACTGAAGCTTAGCAACACTATTTCTTGAAGACCCATTTGTAGTGAGAGCTACCACTGACATATGTATTCCGAAGCAATCAGAGACAGGTCTGTGTCTTGAACATGACACTGACCTGAGAAGTGGACTCCCAGTTTTGCTGAAAAAGCCACATCATGGAAGCTGTAACACAGCAGCACTTGGACAGCATTTCAATAATGCACCACAAGGCCTGAGCCCCACAGGGGATGAGGCACAACCAAGCCTTTAATTTAGAAATGGTCTTGAACCAAGACCTCAAATCCAGACAGATCACCTTTAAATTTCTTATGATGCTCAAACTCCCTCCTTTGCAAATCTCTTCTAATTTTAAGGCTCTATTCAGAGTAGAGAAGGGATTGTCCAGGAACTAAAAGGACAAAGCACTTCACTGGATGAATAACCACTGCAGCTGACCATGGAGAAAGATTCATAGACAGCATGCAATATGGTGATGTTTGAGGCTCACTTTTTAGAAAATCTCTTTAGGGTGTAGTACCTGGGTTTAAAAATGTGCAGCTTTACAGCACACATTTTGTTGTGTAACACAGCCATAGAGGAGCAAATTTTAAAAATTTTCTTAGTGTTAGTCCTCTGGGGCTAATGCTGAATCTCTTCTGGTCATATTAAGTAGGAACAGCCAGCAATATCAGAAAATATCTACTACTTTTCTGAAAGGATTGGCCATTAGGATAGAAAATAACCATGTTAGTAGAAAAAAAAAAACCCAGTTCCTCAAATTTCTTATAGAAATGCCACCTCTGAAAGCACTTTAACTTTGGATACTGGTACTCCTACCTATTCCAAGTAAGTGTTAGTAGGAAGTAGGATGCCAAGCAGCTCTCGTTTCCACATCTTACCTGCCTGTGTTTTTTACAGGACAGCATTTGCAGGTTTGTCTTATAGCCCGCCTGCAGAAGATCATACTTTCTTTCCTTCTAGATAATAGCTGACATCATAACCTTTATGCTGAAGGCAACACTCTTAGCTCCAACCCTCTCACACAAATGCAACTTGTGAGCATTTTCAGATATCTTCTAGACTCACTCACATTACACAACATGGCTCAACTTTCTCAGACACCAGACTTGATCCTCAAACATTAACAAGATCTCCCACTGAGATCATCTGAAGGCCTGTGATGAGAAGGACATAGAAAGGAAAAAAGAAATTCAATGTTGGATGTAACTGATAGATTTATAAAACAGTATCATATGCTTATATACCCAAATTAGTCTAAAACAAATGTAAGGTCTGTATACTGCACTGAAGAATGTCTAGTCTTTGTTTTGTTTGCCCCACCAAGTATCAGACAGTTTGATTTGTTTGATTTGGTGGTTGAATCTGATGCTACATTTTGATTTTGATCCACTTCTCCATTTGTCTGATGGTGTATTCCCAAGTATGTACATGGACTATGGTTCAGCCCCACTCCTCTCAGGCCCGGTGCCATGGGATTCATTGAATCTTTGTGATCTACCCTCCATGACCATGTTTTGCTGCATTCTGTCTCCCAGATATCTAAAAGGGAAAATTTGTCAAGTCCCTTTACAACAACAATTTGGTAAAGGGTTTTCTTTTTCCATTTTTTTCTTCTCTTTTTTCCTTTTTAAAGGGAAATAAATAAATAAAATGAAAAAAAAAAAAAGAATTCCATTCCATTTATATTTTCTGTAGAAGTCTTTGCCTCAGTGAAGCAAAAGCTGAGATCCCCTTGTTCCTCCATTTTCATCGCATTCGCCTTCAGGCTTTTCCGCAAGTCCCACAGCAGCGTGATTTGAACTGGCTGAGCTGGCAGAGTTTGAGCTGCTTCACTTTCTCACAGTACCTTGTGGTGTCTCTGCACTCCACTGTCGAAGGGGAAACAAAAAGGAGAGATGGTGATGAAGCAATGAAAGAAAGATTTTTTCATTTGAAAGCAATTCAAAACAGTTTTATGCTGGGAGGTCTCACTGTGAGCATGATCTTGACTTACTGCAGACACTGAGTGGGGACTTTAAGCCACTAAAGGATCAAAGGGGAATGCAGTGGGCAGCTATGGCTTTCAGAGTGTGAAGATGGCTTTTGAAGCTGCTCCAACACTCAGCACAGTTTTTGCACTCCAGCACAGTTTGCCATCTGATGCTCTAGAAAGAGTTTTGTAATAGTTGTTAAACAGAAGGTGAAGTAGTAAATGAAACTGGAAATTCATTTCAGCAGAGCAGCTCTAAAAACCTCAAGTCAGGCAGCTGGACAAGATGATCACTGATTCTCCCTTCTAACTCTGTGTTTTAAGCCAGCAGGCAGCTTAGCATGACACCCATTAACACCACTCCTCCCATTCCCAGTGAAACGGAGGAAGAGAATTGGGAAAAAACCAAAGTAGAACTTGTGGTTGAGATAAAATCTATTTACTAAGACAAAAAATGAAAAGAGAAATAACAGTAATGATATTATTATACATGCACACTTGCAAAACAAGTGATACACAACACAGTTGTTCACCACCTGCTGTCTGAGGTAGACAGTTTCCAAGCAGTGGCTGTCCCTGCAGCCAACTTCCCAGTGTTTTATACTTTTTTGCATGACACCACATGGTATTGGACATCCCTTTGGCCAATTTAGGTCGCTGTCCTGGTTCTGGCCCCTCCCTTATGCACACCCGGCGACCTTGTTGGCAGGGCAGCATGAGAAGCTCAAACAACCTGGGCTCTGTGCAGCACAGCTCGGCAACAACTAAAGCATCTGTTCTGCTGCTTCTTCTTCTTTTAAATTATTTTTTTTTTATTAAAAAAAAAAATATTTTTAACTTTTCTTTTTCTCTTGCAGGCACAACTTGTTGCTTGTCACCTGAAAGCAAGCAGCTTCCAGTTCAGCAATTCCCAGCATTAACCGACTCAGTGGATTTAGACTTCTTTAAAAAAACAGTGAACACTGTTTGTGAGTTGTATTTTTCCTCCTAGCTGTAGCATCAACAGAAAGCTGAGGCTGCATCAGCCATTTTAAATGGTTAGCATGGGCATGCAACCCTGGTGCCAGCACCACTGCCAACAAACCACAGCAGGCACCATGCCCTCCCACCAAGATGCTGAGCTTTGGACAATCTGTTTTGCATGTGTTCAAGCTAGACATTCTCCAGAAAGCTGAGCTGTGATGCCCAGAACTGCATTTTGGAGACATGACTCCTCATGGAGGACCCACAGTCTTTCCACCTCCTCACACCCATCCCTCCCTCTGCTCATAAACGTACTGTTCTCACAGGGCGTGATGTTGCAGCGCTGCCAGTTGACTGGCCGTGGTCTCCAGGAGCAGTAGTGCTCGAGCACAGGTTTGTTGGTACGGATGTGCACGCAGTCCACACGCCGGGACTGGAAGCCGTAGTTTCCACAGGTAGCTGTACACACTGTCCACAAGCTGACCCTCCAATGCACGCCACAGATGTCAGTCCAGCAGTTCTGAGTGCTCAAAGGCCTGTGAGCAAAAGTGAAGGGGCAAAAGTCACTCACTGCACTGTGCAAGAAGTGTGTGCCACTCTGCACACCCTGCAAGCCTTGTGTGCCCCAAGTATTACTTATTCTGAGCCCTGTCTTCACCGTGTGCAAGCAGAAATAAGCTTGGTGCACTGAAAAGCAATTTTCAACTGCACTCACAGTCTAGACCTTCAGATATTGTCAACTGGTATAGGACAACTGGAGTTGAACAAAAATTTGAACTGCTGGAGTGTTTCACTTAAATATCACCAGCCCATAAATGCCGCAGCAGAATGCCACTAAAAAAGGTGTAATGAATGAAGTAGCACCCATTCAAACACATCAAAGGTTTGTTACTTTTTGATGTCCGCAATCAACAGGAAACAAAAAATGTTCTTATATAATCTCTTTTTACCTTCAGCACAGTCTAATGGGAAATAAATATGTTTCTACAAAGTCAGTGGATTTTATTTGAACAAAAATAAATGTGTCATTCTTATCCAGTTAGCATTTGTGTTGAATTGAGAGATAGGGAGACTGGAAGCTTTGGAAGTTCACCACTAGCAGATAATGAACATGCTCCTACTCTCAGAGATAGCACAGTGTTTCAGTTAGGTTTTATTATGCTAGTTCTTCAATTGTTAGCCAGCTCTTGTGTGTTTTCCTAAAATTATTTTCTTAATTTTATTTTTATTTATGTATTTATTACCTCTGGGGCTGATATGAATGAATACTGAAGTCTTGGCTTAAGCCTGCTGAGGTTTATGCCACATAATTTAACAGGTTACAACATGACCACTTTGCTGCACAGGGAAAACCCAAAAGATGTTTGCTAAACCTCCAGTTTATTCAAAATCTCTCAAAGAACAGTGGTGTAAGATATTTCTGTCCTACCTCGGTAAGGCACTGCACTGATCAGATGACACAGAAGTCCCATCTTTTGTCTGGCAAAATATCTGTCTGTGTTGCACAGCGAGTCGTGGCCCAATGCAAGGCCCATTACACTGTGAAAACAGAAAATCACTTAATGGAGGTAAAAGTCAATGTTCTCCTTTTGTAAGACTGCTGGTGAAATAAAGTGCATATTGCCATGCAGTAACTGTGCAGCTTTCAAGAATTTCCTGCAGTTCTGCACACTTTGGAGGCTGAGCTCACAATTATCATTTGTCCTACTTCACCCCCTCCAGCTATATTGAAACAGCATTTCTGTATCTGCTCTCTAGATTCATTACCTTCTCCTCTTCAATAGTTCAATCTTAAATACATCTGTAGGGCAAATAAAATGCTCTCACATCATTAGCCAAGAGCCTATGATCCATACAGGAAATCTCGATACATTCCTTTTACTGTGCATTTTGCAGCTTGTACTACCACAATTTACGAGCAAATTGTTAGTAACAAAGAACATATTGAACCAACATAATATTCCACTGGAGAAAAAAAAAAAAGTATTGCAGGACAAGAAAGGAAAGCATGTCAAAAGCAGCATATCTGAAATGAATATGTTCCAGCAAAAAAGACATCCTAACCTATTCAAGTATATCAGTTGAACACTTGCTGTTTATCTCTTCTAATCTTCTCCTTCAATTAAATCACAGTTAGTTCTGGATATTAAGCATGTGTTTTTGTTGTTTTAAGTTAAATTAACAGTTAGTGAACAGTTTACTTGATGAGTATCTGGCCATTATATTCCAGAACAGACAAGGGGTTTGAAGAAAGGAGCTTTAATGTGAGGAAGAAGGAAGTTTTGGAAGGGGGAGGCTCATGATCTCTCCTGCATTTTGTTATGAAGTGAATACTTCTATTTCATAAGTTTCTCAGGCACCATTAGAATCTTTTAGAACTGTTTTCTTGTAAACACTCCACCAAATCTACCATAGCCATCAGATCTGACTCCTGAAAACTTAAACTGAAACACATTCCATAAGTGCAAAGAGCACCTGTAGACTTAGAGAAAGCAGAATGCTATTTTTCAAACTTGTAACTTATTTGTAACCTGTCTAGGGGCAGACCTTTCCAATGGGGACAAAAGAGGAGTCTGCAGTGGAAATCCTGTTCACATGTGGTTCTTCTGATTCTGCCTGAAGGTACAGAGACCCAAACATGCATTGTATCAAATACAGAGTTGAAAGCACTAAGCAAATTAATCACCTTCTCAAAAGCCTGCAGAGTACAGCTTGCAGACCACAGCCTCTCATCTTCTGTCACTCTTCCTACCCCACAAAATGAGTCTGTTTTCAGACTGCTAGCATGCTCCTTACCTGGCCCCAGGAGGAGGCCACCCACTCAACACAGGGTTGCCTGTTACAGTTCTGTGTGTCCACTGGGCGCTTGGATGCTTGAGCACAGGCTTCATTTGACATTGGGACAGAGCTGCCTTTTGCTGTCAGTCGTTGGCATGTCACTCGTCGCATTTGGATTCCTCCACCGCAGCTCCGTGTACATGGAGACCATGATGTTACCATCCACCTGTGAGAGAAAGGCAAGAAGGTCAGGGAGCAAATATGTGCTAATGTGTGAATAAGTGCACTGTCTGCAGTATCATCAGTGTCAACAGGACTTGATGTACTGGCCCAAAGTAAGCTAACAATGACTTGCATCACAGTACTGCACTCAGACCCCTGTAGTAGCCATCGAAAACTGGTCGTAAGATGAAAGCTGAGAAAAAAGTACATTTTTTATTTAAGCATCTCTCTGAGGGTTCTCTGGGCACAGAATCCACTTTTTCCTCTTAATGTTGTTTTTAAAAGCCTAGTAAATATTTTTTGTCCAGTCACAGTGGTTTGGCATGGCTGCTCTCACACCACTGCACAACAGGGGCCTTGACAACAGGTTGCAGTCACTGGCTACGGCCCATTTCCACTCCTTGGCAGGAAAAACTGTCCCTGTAAAGTTGATGGAGTAGCTCTCAGGGCACTTTGAACTCGCTGCTGACAGATTGGAACCAAGACGTTGCTAGGGCCTGTTGGCCTGCTCTGTTATCTCCCCGACAGCTGAGATAATCCAGGAAAGCTTGAAGGTTGTGCAAGGATGGATTTGGTGTCCAGACAACACAGAGACAAAGGACATGTTTCGACTTTCCTTTTGAGCTCAGACTGTGCATTTGTCAACCCCGTATTATCAGAGGTTTAAAAAATCCAGTATAACTAATAAAAAACCTCTAATGACAGAAAATAATTATCCAAATTATTTGTCCAAACTATTATGTCCAAAGGCACAAATTCTTAACACAACCTTGCCAATTTATCATTAGTTGGAAGACTCATACCACTGGACTTGGAAGGTACTGGTAGGAACAGGACTGACACAACTGATTATTTGTTCCCTGAGGAGATTTATGGTTAAGTCAGCAGTCATTAAGTTTCAGGATTCCCAGCAAAAGTGTGGTGTTACTGGGAGGAAAATAGTGCCCATCTCATCCTCTAATGGCACTGCTTATGATTACTTCACAAAACAGGCAATAGGTATTCTCTAGCCCTCTGGAAAGGCATCCACTACTAATCCTCAGTGTTCTGCAAGTGATTAACTCCTTAATTTCAGAAACAAGTATATAAATAGATATACTTCTGACAAAGAAAATAAAGACACAACTACTTTTTTCTTGTTGCTCAGTGAGGTTGAAATTGAAGTTTTTCCATCCCTCTATTGTAAAGCTCTGCTCTGCATTTCAATCAACTTCAATTTCCAAGCATACATCTCAACATTTTCTCAGGAACTGAGACAAGAGTATGGGTCACATTACAGTTCAGGAAAGGTATAAAAGGACACAAACTATTTCCATGGAATTTACTGCCATCACTAACGCAAACTGCTGTTAATGAGTGTGTTTTATATTTCATCAAATCTCTTTTGGTTTCCTTCTTATGACTCAGCTGGCAGCTCAAAAAACAGTTGCTTGCAAAAATGGGTAGGAATATATATAGAAAAGATAATTAAACAGAATCTTGCCATATACCCAAGACACAACCAGACTGGTAAATCTGACCGCTTAGTTCTCATCAGGTTGCTTAGCACCTCCATGACATCAGACTAGACTGTTTTTTAATATAAATGCCAGTTTCAAATAACTCTGCTGAATGAGAAGTTGTACTAAATTTCTCTTGAGATCCTGACCACTTTGTAAGTATTTGTTTACTCAAACACAATATGTCCACTGTGAAAATCAGGGAGAGGAGAAAAAGAAAAAACAGAAAAATTAAAAAAAAACCCACTTATACAAATCTCAACTAAGGAGTCACTGATTTGCAGAACTTGGGCATCTTAAACATGGTGAGAGTAGAGCACTAAACTGACTTTCACATCAGACACTTGGGATGTAGTCTTCTTTACACCAAAGGGTGTGAAAGGAGGAAAGTGTCAGTGTGTTCTGTGGGGTGCATGCAGCAGAAGAGGGGAAAGATGTTGACACAGTCAAAAATCTTTCAAGCTGTTGTAACTCCACTGTGTTTACAAGTAACTGAAAAGTGAGGGATTACATGGGCAGTGGGTTACAAGGAAACAATGTCTCTAAAAGGAGGCAGAGCTCAGTCTGACCCCTTTCATGCCCACCATGTCCAATGGGATTTGCTTGCAAAAGACATTTCCGCTGTCCTAAGGGAACTCTCAGCTTTATAGCTGCAGCTGCAGTCCTGCTTGTTTTGACATTCAGGCAACACAGAAGCTCAGGGGAAATAACAGCCCCAAAGGAGCTGAAAGGAGCTGCTAAGTCTAGCTTTTTGCATGTTTTGCTATTGGAATACAGTGGTATGAAGTAAGTTTGCAGATGACACCAAGCTGGGAGGTGATGTGGATCTGCCTGAGGGTAGGGAGGCCCTTCAGAGGGATCTAGATAAGCTGGATTGCTGGGCTGAGGTGGATGGGATGAGGTTCAACAAAGCCAAGTGCCGCGTCCTGCATTTTGGCCACAACAACCCCCCATGCAGTGTTATAGGCTTGGGGCTGAGTGGCTGGATGATTGCGAAGAGGAAAGGGACCTGGGGGTGTTGGTTGATGCTCAGCTGAACATCAGCCGACGTGTGCCCAGGTGGCCAAGAGGGCCAACGCCATCCTGGCCTGCATTAGAAACAGTGGCCAGCAGGAGCAGGGAGGTGATCATCCCCCTGTACTCAGCACTGGTGAGGCCGCACCTCGAGTACTGTGTTCAGTTTTGGGCCCCTCTCTACAAGAAAGACATTGAGGCCCTGGAGCGTGTCCAGAGAAGGGCAATGAAACTGGTGAGGGGTCTGGAGCACAAGTCTTACAAGGAGCGGCTGAGGGAGCTGGGATTGTTTGGTCTGGAGAAGAGGAGGCTCAGGGGAGACCTCATTGCACTCTACAGCTTCCTGAAGGGAGGTTGTGGTGAAGAGGGGTTTGGCCTCTTCTCCCAGGCAACGAACAGGACCTGGGGAAATGGCCACAAGTTGTATCAGAGGAGGTTTAGCTTAGACATGAGGAAAAACTCTCTCTCAGAGAGTGGTCAGGCACTGGAATGGCTGCCCAGGGAGGTGGTGGAGTTGCCGTCCCTGGCAGTGTTCATGAGGCGTCTGGATGAGGAGCTGTGAGATATTGTTTAGTTTGTGGTAGCAATGGTGATAGGGAAGACGATTGGACTGGATGATCTTACAGGTCATTTCCAACGTTGTGATTCTATGATTCTATGAAGCTATGTGGGACAGGAAAATCTTACGATACTGCAGTTCTTGAGTGATCTTATGATCCTGCAGTTCTTGTGTACAGAGCTCAGAACAGGCATAAAATTTACATCTAACACAGGGTAAGGCTGAAATTACCCAAGAGAACTCAGACTGTACAAGTCTATGTGTTAAGGCTAGATGGGTGAGGATGCTGAGAGCAGGGCAATGTTTCTACAAGGCTGCTCACTATAACCTTTGAAAGGTTATGGATATTGGAGAGGTCCTGGCAATTGTAGAAAGACAAATGTTTCCCTTATTTTCAAAAAACTACCATGAGGATGATATAAAAGGAACTAGAAGTTAGTTGGTTTTACTTTGATCCCTAAGAAAATTCTAAAGGTACCTGACTGACTATGGGAAAGAATGACCAGACCTGAGTACAAGGAGAGGGCAGTGGAAGTCATTTACCCAGTCCACATCAAGGTGTTTGAGACTGTCTCCCTCAGTATTCTAATATCCAAGGTGCAGTGTTAATAGTCTGGATGAGTTGAATAAAACATGGAGTGAATTATGAGGCTCATAGAGTAATGGTTTATTGACTTTACTCCACCTAAAGAGTGGTAGCAAATAGTATCCTGCAGGACTCACTGTATGTCCCTGTTAATGTTCTTATTGGTCAACAGGACAGGTACAGGACCCAGGCCCAGATTTGTTTCCAATTGTCCAGATTATTAATTCTGAGGCTTACTTTCTTCTGTTCATTTTCTAGTCATTGCTAAGTGAAGAGTATTTAATTTATGTTACTAAAACACAAAGATACTATGTCACTCTTTTTTCCAACATACAGCAATGTCTGAAGGCTCAATTTAGGGTGAAGTCTTTTCTTTCATGAAGTACTGCAACAAGCAGAAGGCATTGTTCCCCATCTCTTCCTGCCTAGGTAACATCAGCTGATAGTGAAGCTTATAAGTTTAAATGACTAGTGAGATGGAAATCCAGTTTTCTACCTTAGTGTAAAAATGCTGAAAAGCATTCTTGACTATTCAGACTATCAGAGAAGATTCAAAAGTACCATGAAACTGTGACCTTTGCTAATAAACAGGAGGCAACAGCTTCTTCATTCTTTTCTAACTGAACTACTACAAGGGTAAACACTCCTTATATACAATGTACTGTCAACATTTTTCACAAATCTTGCTAAAAATTCCCAATGTCTATGTTAAGCACTCATAAATTCTCTTTCAGCCATGACTTTGTCCTAGACAGGCAGCAGCAAGGCTATAAGGGTATGCTGTCCATTGCAAAAAATTCTTGAAGTACATGTTGAAAGCATTTATGACATTTTAGTATAATAAAGGCAAACCGTGAAGGGCAGTCTCTCCTATTGCATGCGATGGGCTGCAGGGTTGGCTTGGGCTTCTCTTTGCAGTTGGATATATTGACTTCAGTCCCATTCAGTAAGCACCTCAGTTGGGGCACCTGCACTCCTTTGTGGCCACAGGAAGCAGAACAAGCCATCAGCTTGTCCACTGACCACTGGTAGTCTGTCAAAAAGCAAGTGAGAGTCATGTTAACACTTAAAAACTGCCAGTGAGAAATCCTTAGAAAAGAGAGAGCTGATCTCCAGGATGAAAAGTTTAGACTCAGTGTCTCGTCAGGGCAGCTATGCTTGAAAGACACCAGGCAATGGAGAAAGGAGCAGAATTCCAGCTAATGTAAGGCACTGACCATATTTTCTAATAAATCCCCCCTTGTTTTTTTGTGTTCAGAAGCACAAGACATAGAAGGTGAATGAAATTCCAGGGCAGTCAGTGATACCAAATGACAGGGATGTGGGGCATTACAAATCCTGGTATTTATACAAACTTAGGTGAGTAATTAGCTATCTGTTAGCTATCTGTGGAATAGATTCAGGAACTTCAGTAAGCCATTGGGAAAATGAGAGCAGGCACCATGACACTGGCAAACATGTAAGCTTCTGATATGCAGCCAAACATGACACTGCAGAAACTCTCAGAGTTGGTATATACAGTACACATCTCTAATGCAAATGATGAGAATTTTTTTCCCCCTTAAATTGGTTTTTTGAGTGCCTAGGGATCTCTTCCTATTATATTCAGCCAGATTTTACATTTGGTTCATGAAAAAGGTGTTATTAATCCTCCTGGCATTACATCTTTTCACGACTTTTCAGAAGGTTGGTTAAAATAAAATAAAAACAAACGTTTAAGCTCAAATATCAAAACTGTGATGGGAAAATATGAGGGCTGTTAGGATGACACAATCCCACCTTGTTTTTCATTCTGTGAGAGCTTTGAGGCTGAGATGGAGCTGAAGATCCACCTTCAGCAGATACTGCCAAGCATTAAAAAGACCCATCCTTGCTCTCACATGCCCTGTGAAGGACTGTGTGAGTCTCCTGGAAAGTCCTTAGATCTTGCCTTTGGAAAGACTGGATCACCCCAAAGTAGGAGAATAAAAGAAAGGAAGTGGGTTTATAATATTAATCTGCTTCAACATCTGTAAGGCACACTTTCAAACTCAAATCCATATATTCAAAAATACAGTGTGCATACTTTCACAGCAATAATTAACAGGATTAATTCTTAATCATTTATATTTGTATACTTAGAGATGTCATGGCTAGCTGCAGCTAATAGTGTTATCTTACAACAGTGTGTATCTCAACAGGCAAATCACAGAGATCATCGGCAAAAAAGGGGTTTGCAGCACTTCTGAAAAGTTTTATTGTAAAAATTAAGGAAAAGTTAAATTCTTCTCCACTCCATTCCTGTCAACTGCAAAAATGAAAGATGTATATTCTGTTCCAACCCATTCACACTGCTCAGTTCAGTGGCTTTGTCACCTTCAGTTAATTTCTAGGGTAAAAATAACACAGTTTATTTTTACAGCAGTTTTACAAGCAAAGGGTTTTTGAGCACTGTGTAACGCTGACTTTAGAAGATTAACAGAGGGGTTTCTAATCTTATAGGTTTGACCTGTGACACCTCTGTCTGGAATTTTAGGTTAATGCAGCAGCCGTGAGTATAACTTGAATCAGCAAAGCATGCTATTTGCTGAGCAGGCCAGAAGTATCAACTGTCATTTTGGGAAAGTGACACAGCAAGTGAAACCTAAGATGCTGCAAGATTCTTGCTAGGCCTGCAAATTTATATCCATAGTGGTAGAATATCAAAACATTAATTTCCTGCTTTGCATCACAGTCTTGGCTTCAGAGCCAAGAAATTTAGGACAAGAAAGGCAACGCAGGGAAGTCAATGTCAAAAGCTTCACAGGGGAGAAGCACAGTTACCTTGTATTGCCAGGGAAGTTTTTTGTAAGAGTGAACCAGCCTCATTCTGAGCAAGGCAGCTGAATTCTCCTTCAGGAGCATCACTGATGTTGTATATTTGAAGAATTTGTCCTGCTGCTAGGAAGCGATGCCTCAGACTGAGAGGCTTTCCAGAGTAAAGCCAGGTGATATTTGGAGTTGGATGGCCATCCACAGCACAACCTAAAATAAAAGAACATGACATAACCCCATTGAGGATTGAACATACTGCAAAATTACTTGAAGTGGTCAAAATAGAGGAGTCACTTGTATTCAAATTCGTTCTCATTTTCTTAGAATCAAAAACACGAATAATATTCCTTCTCTTCAGCTGGAAAAAAACAAACAAACAAACAAAAAAAAACACCTCCAAAAAGCCAGCTAATCAGAAAATAGTGGATCAGTTTGGAAATATTTATAGCCAGCCTTCTAAGACTTCCATTATTTTAGATCATCTTCATTGCAGTATTGAGAAAAGTGGGATAGTGAGGCTGCACACTTAGCATAAGCTCTATAAGTATGTTTGAAAAGCATCTCAAATAGAACTTCTTCTCCAGCAAACCTATTTTAACCACCTTTTTTTCTTGTCTTTTTATTGTAATAAATTAAAAATCAGATGTTTGCATGCTGAGAGGCAAAGGGAGCATCTATAATACCTGGATCTACTTCTTAGGCTGACTTCCACTCAGAAGGATATGTACTGGATCTCCCACTGGCACATTAGCCATATGCAGCTTAGCTCTCTTCCCTCTTGCTGGCACTCCTAGTCTGCATCCACAGTAAGGGAGGGTGCTGGCCAGATAAACTGCTGTGTGGGGCTTGTTCACTCTGTATTAAATGCATACTATCAAGGGCAAGGAGTCTCCAGCAGGTGTATAATACGCACAGTAGCCTGTGCAGTTACAGTGGCAATGTTTCTCTGGCAAAGAACTAATTAATGCAGCAAAATCTTAAAAAAAAAAAAAAAAAAGAGAGAGAGAGAGAGAGAGAAAATAAATGAAAGAAGAAAAAGGAAGATGGAGAGAGTGCTCAGTGCTCACAGTGGTCACTTCTCTTGCCTTGTTCTCTTCTTATTTAAAAGGATAATGAGTCTTTGCTATTTGTTTTAATTTCCTTGGCAAGGTCTAATGCAGTTTTGCCCTTGGCAGCTCTTTTCCTAATGCTGCACTTCCTGACCACAAAGACACAGCTTTCTTTGCTGACTTCCTTCTTCCTATTACTGTGAGCTATTTATTCCTGTTATGTTTCATTTTACCTTATTCCTTTTGTCCTTTCTGAGTACTTAAACCTTTTCCTGCTATTGTTCAGAAAAGCAAGTCATCCAGCTTCCAGGAGATATTCATTCTTAACAAAATGAGTGACGTGAAAGGTATCAGCCTAGCTGGTTTACTGTTTAAGGTTGCCTATGTTAAAAGGAAAGGAAAATAAAGGAATACTCAAGAAATGGACAAGCTTAACAATAAGTGGCTGTATGATTTTCCCTATGGTACTGTAATTTTTTATAGCTTGCTTGTCTTCTAAGAGAATTGCAGAGATTTCCACAGGTCAGCACATAGCCATGACAACTGACACAGCGCTGCTGTGAATTCAGTTTTACTGTTGGCATTTGCAAACAGTCTACATAGGATAAATGAAGAAAGCAGAAAGGTCAATTTGATGTTAAATGCAGAGCAACTGAAATCAACTTCAGTATGCAACTAGTTGTAGCTCACGCCTGTTTGTCTTTTAAAAATGTTACTGCCAATCAGATCAGTGTAATCTTCCTGATACTATTTCCCTTGTTTTCATATTGTTTCTTCCTTCATAATAAGTATATGACAATACTAGCTAAAGCAACAGCCAGTAATCAATAATATGAGAGGAAGGAAAAGAAAAAACTAACAAAGTGTCTAAATATGTTACACCAGTGAATAATTATTACATTTTTTTCCTTGACAGTGAAACTTTACTAACACCTGTGAGACTCATATGTAATGGATATTCCTTATTTTTGTATGCAGAACAAGAATCAATCACATTTTGCAAGCGAGATTTCCTACGTTTCCCACATGTATGGACACATAAGATATGGGATAATGTTTTATGCATATCAAGTAAGAGTATAATAAAAAAAAATCTTCCATTAATATCCCTTTCCCAGGAATAATTTTAATGCAATTTAATGCCTATTCACAACACTTAATTCTCTATTCCCACCCATCCCTGTCAATACTGATGGCTTTTTCCTTCCAAAGCTTAACAAACAGCCTGAGAAAAAAAAAAAAAAACTGGCTTTATTTCTAAACAGACCAACTGTTGCAGATTGTTAGTACATCAGAACCCTCGGCGAAGTAGGGAGAAAAAACCTGGAAGGACTAATTCTGAGCAGCAAAACTTGTGGCATGATAGGGACCTTTTCCTTCAGCTCTTCTTAAAGAAAGAAAATACTGCCTTCAGCCTCCCTTTCAAAGTCTTCCATGACTCTGAACTAATTCAAAGCCAGGATGAAGCAGTCATAAATGTGCAAAAGCTGGAGAAAAAAAAAAACAGAAATCTAATACGAATTACATCATTTAGTTGGAAAAGTGTTATTATTTCGAGGATAACAGGAGAATATTTGGGAAAGGAAGAACATTTCACAACACTGCAAATCATTTATTGAGAGGAAACAGTAAATGCACAGTGCAGATGAAATTCAAGACCCTGTTATATCTCTGCAATGCTCACTGTATGACTGTAGTCATAGAAAGATTTTGGGGGTACTTTGCTAATGCTAAGTGAACAAAATCTGTAGCACGTACACACTCATTTTTCATTTGCAGACTTAGATTACAGAACCATGCATATGTTAATGCTACTGACTCTAGAATTCCTTCTATAAGCCTGCTAACTTAAGTCAGCAGAATTGAATGGAAGCAATGGTGAAAGTGTCAAATAAATAATGCAGTTACTAAACACAGTTTGTAACAGAAGGAAAAAGAATACAGAACTGTTTCAAAATCCTTGAAATCCTTAATATTTATTCGCACATGTTTGTACTTGTCTTTTGACAAATAGTTCTCTATTTTACTACTAAACTGCTCATCAATCACAGTCCTTCCAATATTTGTTAAAGATGGATTCTGAGTGAAGACTTGGGATGAGGAATATTCTTTGAAATTTGAAATTTCTTTAAACAAAATAGACCTGCAGTCTGAGCTCTGATTATTTCCTACTTAAGAGATAGGCTTAGTTAGGAGAACCCAGACATGAACACACACTGTAACATGCAGTCTGAATTCATCAGTATTAACATTCAATACATGGTTGTACATTAAAGTCCAGTTTTATACTCTTGCTCTTCATGGTGAACTCTCCGTGCAACTTGAGATGTTTAATCTGCATTACTTTGGAATAATTTGATTCAATGATAAAAGTCATACTTGATTTAACTTGGGTGACTAAAATGAGAAATGCATATTAAACCTAAGGTATTAAACCTAAATTTAAACCACTAAATCTAAATTTAATTCCTTTTTGTACCTAGCATATAGGACAAAATTTGACAGGAGTCATTAGAAGGTTCTTCACTCGAAGGTGAATAGGCTCCAAAGGGCAGTGGTCACAGCACAGAGTTGCTGGAGTTCAGGGAGCATTTGGACAATGCTTTCAGACATACAGTCTCAGTTTGGGTGGTCCTGTGTGGAGCCAGAGTTGGACTGAATGATCCCTGTGGGTTCCTTCCAGCCTGGGACATTCCCTGATTCTATGAACCTTAAAAAATGCTAATGAAGCAAACACAGGTAAGGTAAGATCATGTCTGAAAGTCTTCAAATACCTATGCAAAACCTGATTTGTTGAAGTAGCAAAATTAAGAGATAAACCTTTGCAATTTTTCTTAAAGGGTAAAGATTTTCCCCAATAGTAGACAATGTAAATTTTAACTGACATTGTTTACTCAGGTTTTATGCATATTACTTTACTTCTCAGTGCTTTCATACACTGGGTAAAATAAAACTCACAAAGGGTAATGTGATCCTAGAAATCACCCAAAAAAGGATTAATGTTAATACAAACATAACTCTAGTTTTTAACAAAGACAGAGAAATGACATTAACTTATATGTTATAAGGAAAGGCATGTATTTAGAAATAAGCCAATTCAACTGATGACAGTAGCATTAAAAAAAAAAAATAAAATAAGGTATTTTAAATAACCATCTAGCGCTCCAAAGGAGCAATTGAATCTTACTACATTAAACATTTGACATGGCTTTTATACTGTTTTCAAAACATCTAAATTAGTTACCCGGTGCCACACATGTTGCTGTTATTAGATATCGTTTACATAGCATTGTAAATTTACACTGTATTCAATAGAAGTTGAGCTAGGCCCATTCCCAACCCAAGAGAAGTTGTAAAAATATTCCCAAATATACAACTACACGGTGGGTCCATTAAAAAAGCAAAAGAGTTTTCAAGCTCTAGTAAAACAGCTTGTTTTCTAAAAAGCTCTGAAAAGAGGAATTGTACTCACTAAGAATCTTGTAGCACTAAGGATTCGGGTGAAAAAAAAATTAGAAAAGGTAAATGATGAAAGAAAACCTATGAGAATGGACACAGACTGCAGACGTGGCCTCCTCAGCTAACTGATGGGTCTATTCAACTGAAAAGGGATATACTTCAGATTAAATTATCCACTACTGGTACTGCTCCAGGCTAACTGCACAACTACAATTGCAGGAGAAAAAGGACATTTAAAACAGTCACATGGAATGTGTACCGAGAAACAGCAGTGTAGCACAAAGAATCCATCAAGGAGACAGCATAACACAGTTACCAGTCCAAGCTGCAAAGGTCTATTTTATTGAGCTGATAACTTGCACATCCTGAGATTTCAGAAGCTCAGGAAACTTCCTGTTTTGCAAGGAAAGTAATAAGCACAGAGCAGAGGAGGTGGAGGACAGGGTAGGTGCAGGGAAGACTGCTACACAGAAAGCAGCATTTTCATTATTACCTTTATATACATGTAACCTACCCAGGAATTTTCACAGTGTAATGAAACAATGTTTCCACGGATGCAAAAATGGAAGGGGGTGGAAAACAAAATTAACTGGGCAAATTATTCTATGGATATATGTGGTACTTCAGCACACTGGAAATCTGATTAATGTAAACTACAGCTTCCCCTGAAAAATATCCTGTAGCATTAGAATCACTTTTCAAACACGACATCCACTTTATTACAGAGGGAGACGAGGAGGGAAAAATAATGTTGTGGCATAATAACTTCATAGATAGTAAT